CTCCATGTTCTACAGTGTTTCACCCTAACAGAGGTGGTCAAGGTTCTCACCAGCCTCTTGGCTTATCTTATCCCTCATTAACCTTGGCATTTCAACGAAGCAGTCCAACCCTGCCTCTTCTAGTTCAGATTTGAGTCTGAATTTCTCCCTTGGAATTTTGGCAGAAGCAGGCCCAATCCTTACAGGTTGCTCTTGACAAGGAGATCCTTATGTGGATATTGAAATCCCCTAGAATAATACTTTTCCAATGATCCTAAGACTCACAACAGCACAGAGGGCATGGTGGGTAATACACCAATGAAACTGGAAGTCTGACTTGCAGGCCCAACCTCAAGTATAACTAATGTCCTGGTTTGCAAATAACAGGCGTTTCTAATTACCATGGGTAAACTACCCCAAGGGGCTTCTCGCCCCTGCTGCAGCTTTCATTCTGAAATGTCAAGCCACAGTGAGGGTGCACCACAACTTGTCAGTATTTGTTCTCATATAACCCCAGTCCTCCGTCAGCTCCCCTGGCTCCCCACTGAAGTCCGGGCCCAATTCAAGGTGCTGGTTATCACCTACAAAGCCCTCAACGGCTTGGGACCTGGTTACCTAAAGGAGCGCCTGCGTCCATATATGCCCGCCCGCCCCTTGAGATCTGCGGGAGAGGCCCTTCTCCGGGAACCCTCCGTGAAAAATATTCAGAGGGTGAGTACTCGGAGGAGGGCTTTTTCTGCAGTGGCGCCCAATCTATGGAATGCGCTCCCCAGAGAGGTCTGCCTGGCACCGTCCTTATTTGTTTTTTGGCGCCAGGCCAAGACCTTTTTATTTAAATGCTATTTTAACTGTTAATGGTTTATTTATTGATTTTAAATTGACCAGGCTGTGTCCACTATTTTATTTTATGTATTTTATTTGTTCGATTTTTTTTGGTATTTTATGCAGGATTTTATGATTGTAAGCTGCCCCGAGACTCATGCGATGGGGCAGCATATAAGTTGTTTAAATAAATAAATATTTATGAACCTGGCCAGGGTGGATTGTTAGAAGGATTAGCAAGCCACCCAGAACCCACAGCCTATTTTAAGGCTGTGACAAGGGGAAATTCAGTCACAGTGGCTTCTTGTTAGTCCACTAAAAATAACTGCTGGACAGAATAATTAAAATCAAAGATGAAATTGAATAAATCAGTGCAACAGCCCCACCCCACATTGTATCCAGGCTACTTCTGTAAGAAACTAAATAAGCATTACAACATTGTTGGTATATGACACCACAAGGGCTGGCAGGGATATACCCCAATGTTAGCAACACTTGTTGGAAATGCGGGGAAAGTAATGCAAAAGTAATAGACTTTTTCCATTTATGGTAGACTTGTAAAAAGACCTTTCTGCAAAAAAGTTGCAACTCATATGAATTGTATGACTAGATATTCTATTCCTATGAATCCTATGTATGTTTTACATGGCTATGTTAAATGTTTTGTTAAAAGTGAACATGTAGAATTGAAGGAAATCTTTTTATTATTCCCTCTACATAAGAATGGATCGATAAGATATGGTACATTGCTTCAATGGTGAAGTTAATGGAATTTGTTCATGTATAAGATGGAAAGATTGTAAATTTGAACAATTCTGGATTCCATTTATTATTTATCTGAAACAGCAATTTGATTTGGACATTAATAAATTCAAAGCTTTTGCAATGTTGGTGTACTTTGTTGGAGAATCTCTTAATTTGGAAAATCAGGAATGGTTTGTTTGGTGATCATTGGGGCTGTGTAGGTGTTATTTATATTTATGATTTTATGTAATTTGTGTGATGTTGTTTCTTTGTATAGTTATACAAAGAATGTAATAATAACATCATTTTTTAAAGGAAAGCAAATAGGCATAGCTGGGAGAAGTCAGACCTCGCTGCTTTCAACCAGATCATGGATAAGGATACTGACCTGCTGTGTATTACCAAAGGTAGGCACCATATCAGCATCTTTATCCAGGTGCCAAATCCTGAATGGTGAAAGTTTTTCTGTTCATCTGCCTGGAATTCAGCAGCAAAGTATGCATACTCTGCAGGCTGCTTACATGGTTCTCAGAGTTCCCAAGGCTGGGGGACATGAAGAGAGTGGGCAAAGTTGTCTATAGTCCAAAGAACAATATGAAACACCATCAGGAAATGAACATCCTTGAAATAACAGTGTTCCAGTCTGGGCTGAATTCAAGGTTTTCACCATGACATATAAAGCCCTAAATTGCTTGGGACCACAATCTTAGGGAACGTCTTACTCCATACATTGCTGCCCATCGTTCAAGATCATCAGCTGAGGCCCTCCTACAAGTTCCTTTTCCTAAGGAGGTCAAGGGGGAAATTGCAAGGAGGAGGGCACCCCAAATGTGGAAAGCTCTACCATTGGAGATTCCTCAGGTGCCTGCCTTGCTTAGATTTAGGTGCCTGACAAAAACGTTCCTTTTCTGGAACTCCTATGGCACTATTTAGACCATATTGTCAGCACTGGTTTTTAATGTATTAATTTATCTTTTTACTCAATTATATATGCCATGCTTTGATCTTGTTTATATTTTAACTGTATTATTTTAATGTAATTAGTGACATTTTCTCCTTCATGAATCACTGCCTTGCCGTGGTGAAGGGGCTTCCGTAGCTCAATGAAGCTATGAGCTATGCCATGCAGGGTCACCCAAGATGGACAGGTCATAGCAGAGAGCTCTGACAAAACGTGATCCACTGGAGAAGGAAATGGCAACCCACTCCAGTACCTTTGCCATGAAAACCCCATGGACAGTACCAAAAGGCAAAAAGATATGACGCTGGAAGATGAGCCCCTCAGGTCGGAAGGTGTCCAATATGCTACTGGGGAAGAGCAGAGGGCTAGTACTAGTAGCGCTAGAAAGAATGAAGCGACTGGGTCAAAGCTGAAAGGACACTCAGTTGCAGATGTATCTGGTGGTGAAAGGAGAGTCCGATGCTACAAAGAACTATACTCCACAGGATCCTGGAATGTAAGATCCATGAATCAAGGCAAGCTGGATGTGGTCAAACAAGAGATGACAAGACTGAACATCGACCTCTTAGGAATCAGTGAACTAAAATGGACAGGAATGGGTGAATTTAATTCAGATGACCATCATGTATACTACTGCGGGCAAGAATCCCTCAGAAGAAATGGAGTAGCCTTCATAGTCAATAAAAGAGTAGGAAAAGCAGTGCTGGGATACAATCTCCAAAATGACAGAATGATCTCAGTTCGAATCCAAGGCAAACCATTCAACATCACAATAGTCCAAGTCTATGCCTCAACCACTGGTGCTGAAGACGCTGAAGTTGACCAGTTCTATGAAGGCCTACAACACCTTCTAGAGTTAACACCAAAAAAATGATGTCCTTATCGTCATGGGGGATTGGAATGCTAAAGTAGGAAGCCAAAAGATAACCGGAATAACAGGCAAGTTTGGCCTTGGAGTACAAAATGAAGCAGGGCACAGGCTGGTAGAATTTTGTCAAGAGAATACGATGGTCATAGCAAACACTCTTTTCCAACAACCCAAGAGACAACTCTACAGATGGACATCACCAGATGGTCAACACAGAAATCAGATTGACTATGTCTTCTGCAGTCAAAGATGGAGAAGCTCTATACAGTCAGTAAAAACTAGACCAGGAGCTGACTGTGACTCAGATCATGAGCTTCTGGTTGCAAAATTTAGGCTTAAGTGAAGAAAGTAGGGAAAAGCACTAGGCCACTCAGGTATGACCTAAATCATATCCCTGATGAATATACAGTAGAGGTGACAAATAGATTTAAGGAATTAGATCTGATACAAAGAGTGCCTGAAGAACTATGGACGGAGGTTCATAACATTGTACAAGAGGCAGCAACTAAAACCATCCCAAAGAAAAAGAAATGCAAGATAGCAAAATGGCTGTCTGAGGAAGCTTTACAAATAGCTGAGGAAAGAAGGGAAGCAAAAGGCAAGGGAGAAAGAGAAAGATACACCCAATTGAATGCAGAATTCCAGAGAACAGCTAGAAGAGATAAGAATGCCTTCTTAAATGAACAGTGCAAAGAAATAGAAGAAAACAATAGAATAGGAAGGACCAGAGATCCCTTCAAGAAAATTGGAGATATGAAGGGAACATTTCATGTAAAGATGGGCATGATAAGGACCAAATTGGCAGGGACCTAACAGAGGCAGAAGAGATTAAGAAGAGGTGGCAAGATTACACGGAAGAACTATACAAGAAAGAGCTTAACGTCCCTGATAACCACGGTGGAGTGGTCACTGACCTCGAGCCAGACATCCTGGAATGTGAAGTCAAACGGGCCTTAGGAAGTCTGAGCAACAGCAAAGCTAG